GCTTGTTGGCATACACTTATTCATAGTATTTTCTTACAATCCTTTGTATTTCTGTGGTGTCCGTGGTTACTTCTCTACTTTTGTTTCTGATTTTATTTATTTGGATCCAGTTTCTTTGTTTCTTAATGAGTCTGGCTAACAGTTCATCAATTCTGTTTATCCTTTCAAAGAACCAGCTCTTGGTTACATTGATTTTATATATATATAATTATATATATATAATTTTATATATATATATATATATATATATATAATTATATATATAATTTTAGTCTCTATGTCATTTATTTCTGCTCTAATCTTTATTATTTCCTCCCTCCTACTTACTCTGGGTTTTTCTTGTTGTTCTCTTTCTAGTTCTTTAAGTTTTAGGATTAAATAGTTTATTATTAATTTTTATTGTTTCTTTTTGGGGTAGGCTTTTAGTGCTACGAACTTCCCTCTCTGTACTACTTTTGCTGTTCCAGAGATTTTGGGTTGTTACATGATCACTTTCATTTGTTTCCAGGAAGTTCTTTATCTTTCTTGATCTTGTTGGTAACCATTCATTGTTTAATAATATGCTATTTAGCCTCCATGTGTTTGAGTGTTTTGGGGTATTTTTACTGTAGTTCGTTTCTAATTTCATTCTACTGTGATCTGAGAAGATGCTTCATATGATTTAAATCTTCTTGGACTTGTAGAAACTTGGTTTGTGTCCTAACATGTGGTCTATATTTGTGAATGATCCATGTGCACTTGAGAATAATGTACATTCTGCAGCTTTGGGGTGAAATGTTCTATAAATGTCAATTAACTCCATCTGATCCAGTGTATCCTTTAGAGTCACTATTTCCTTGTTAATTTTTTGTCTGGAAAATCTATCCAGTGAAGTTAGAGGGGTGTTGATGTCCCCTACTATGACTGTATTGTTGTCAGTCTCTCCCTTAAAGTCCTCTAGAAGTTATTTTATATATTAGGTGCTCCTATATTGGGTGCATTATGTTTCCCAGGGTTATATCCTCCTGTTGGATCAATCCCTTTAGTATTATGTAGTGACCTTTGTTGTCTGTTGTGATGGACTTCATTTTGAAGTCTATTTTGTCACATATAAGCATTGCTACCCAACTTTTTTTCTTTTCTTTTCCATTTGCATGGAAAAGTTTTTTCCATCCCTTCACTCTCATCCTTTGTGAGTCTTTTGTTTTGAGGTGGGTCTCTTATAGACAGCCTATAGTTGGGTCATGTTTGTATCCATTCAGCTACCCTGTGTCTTTTGATTGGAGCCTTTAATCCATTTACATTTAAGGTTATTATTGACTAGAGGCCCGGTGCACAAAAATTTGTGTACTGGTGGGGTGGGGGGTCCCCTCAGCCCGGCCTGTGCCCTCTCTCAGTCTGGGACCCCTTGGGGGATGACCACCTGCTGGCTTAGGCCTGCTCCCCGGGGGATTGGACCTAAGCTGGCAATCAGACATCCCTCTGGCAGCCCGGCAGCCCTCGGGGGATGTCCACTTGCCAGCGGGGAGCAGACCTAAGCTGCAGCCGGACATCCTTAGTGCTGCTGAGGAGGCGGAAGAGGCTTCCACCACCACTGCTATACTGGCAGCCATCAGCCTGGCTTGTGGCTGAGCAGAGCTCCCCCATGTGGGAGCGCACTGACCACCAGAGGGCAGCTCCTGCATTGAGCATCTGCCCCCTGGTGGTCAGTGTGTGTCATAGTGACCAGTCATTCCCAGTCTTTCTGCTGTTAGGGTCAGTTTGCATATTACCCTTTTACTATATAGGTTAGAGGCCTGGTGTATGGGTGGGGGCCAGCTGGTTTGCCCTGAAGGGTGTCCCGGATCAGGGTGGGGGTCCGGCTTGAGTGCCTGGCCAGCCTGGGTGAGGGGCTGATGGCTGTTTTCAGGCTGGCCACACCCCCTTCACGGTGGGCGTCCCCACTGGGGTGCCTGGCCAGTCTGGGTGAGGGGCTGAGGGCCATTTTCAGGCTGGCGGTCAACTGAAGCTTCCAGCCTTTCCTTTTTTTCTTTTTTTTTTATTCTGGGATTTATTTACCTTCTATAATTGAAACTTTGTTGCCATCACTGGCACTCCCAGCTCTGAGGCCGCGGCCTGCTGAAAGCAGGTATCTGGGGTTTGTTTAGCTTCTATAATTGAAACTTTGTTGCTTTCGGAGCTTAGAGCGGGGCGGCGGCAGGCGGGGAACCTTGGCTTCCTCCATCACTGGAGCAAGAAAGCCTCCTGCTCACTTCAGCTGCGTGGCTGCCGGCCGCCATCTTTGTTGGCAGTTAATTTGCATATCTTGCTGATTAGCCAATGGGAAGTGTAGCGGAGGTATGGTTAATTACCCTTTTTGTCTTTTATTAGATAGGATAGGTACTTACTTATTGCCATTTTAATTCTGTCTGCCTAGGTTTTTCTGTCTATTTCTTCTCATCACAGCAGTTCCTTTAGCATTTTTTGTAATGCTGGGTTGGTGGTGATGTACTCCTTTAGTCTTTTTTTTTTTTTTGGTCTTGGAAGCTCTTTATTTGACCGTCTGTTTTTAATGATCGCCTTGCTGGATATAGTAAACTTAGTCTCAGATCCTTGCTTTCCATTATCTTGAGTACTTTCATGCCATTCCCTTCTGGCCTGTAGAGTTTCTGATCAGAAATCAGGTGTCAGCCTTATGGAAGCTCCTTTGTAAGTAATAGTTTGCCTTTTCTCTTGGTGCCTTTAAGATTCTGTCTTTGTCTTTAATTTTTGGCATTTTAATTATGATATTTCTGGGTGTGGGTCTGTTTGGGTTCTTCTTACTTTTAACTCTCTGTGCCTCCTAAACTTGTGTGACTTTTCCCTTTACCAGGTTAGGGAAGTTTTCTGTACTTATTTCTTCAAACACATTCTCTATTCCTTTCTCCCTTTTTGCCTCTTCTGACACACCTGTTATGTGAATATTGTTAGGTTTCATGTTGTCCCACAGGTCCCTTAAGCTGTCCTCCTGTTCTTTTTTTTTTTTTTTTTTTTAATATATTTTATTGTTTTTTTACAGAGAGGAAGGGAGAGAGATAGAGGGTTAGAAACATCAATGAGAGGGAAACATCGACCAGCCGCCTCCTGCACACCCCCTACTGAGGATGTGCCCGCAACCAAGGTACATGCCCTTGACAGAATCAAACTGGGGACCCTTCAATCCGCAGGCCGATGCTCTATCCACTGAGCCAAACTGGTTCCGGCCTCCTGTTCTTTTAATTATTTTTTTATTTTTGGTTCTCTGGTTGAGTGATTTTTTCAACCCTGTCTTCTAATTCACTGATTTGATCCTCAGCTTCCCCTAATCTGCTGTGTATTTCTTCCAGTGTGTGTGTGTGTTTTTTTTTTAAGTTTTATAAGATTGTTTTTAGAAGTGAAAATTTTTTTTTCAAGAAAAAATATTTTAAATATAAAAACCAATGTGGCCCTAACCGGTTTGGCTCATTGGATAGAGCGTCGGCCTGTGGACTGAAAGGTCCCAGGTTCAATTCCGGTCAAGGGCATGTACCTTGGTTGTGGACACATGCCCAGTAGGGGTTGTGCAGGAGGCAGCTGATTGATGTTTCTCTCTCAGTGATGTTTCTAACTCTCTATTCCTCTCCCTTCCTCTCTGTAAAAATTCAATAAAATATATATTTAAAAAACAAACAAAACCTCCCCCCCCCAATGTTTTCTCTATTTGTGCTATGTCATTCTTTATTTCTGTTTTTATAGTTACTATATCTTTTCTCATGCTGTTGGGCATCTTTACCATCATTATTCTGAACTCTATATCAAATAAATTTCTTATCTCTATTTCATTTATCTCTTCTGGAGAATTCTCTTGTTTTTTCATTTGTGGGTTGTTTCTTTGTCTCCTCATTTTGGCTGCCTGTTTGGGTTTGTGACTCTGTATTAGGTAGATCTGCTGCCCCTCTCATTCTCTAGTGCAGGACAGTGTCAAACACTGTTTCTAGCTAATTAGATCAGGCAAAGACTAAATGCTTCCAGAGACCCCTCTGCCTACAGCCTGATAGGATTCTGTCTTGAATAGCCCTCAGGCAATTGTCCACAGGTGTGGTGAGAGTTTTTTCTAGGGGGGAGGGCAATTGCTTCTGCCTGGAGGCTAATTGTTATTCTCAGTCTCTTAATGGGCCTCAGAAACACCGTGGGGCAAGGTGTTTTCCAATAGGGTTGTTCAGCTGCCTTCCCCCCAGGCAACGCTGCCTGTATAGCAAATGTCTGCGAGGGTTTCCTTAAAAAAAAAAAAAAAAAAAGATTTTAAGAGAGAGAAGAGGAGAGGGAGAGAGAAACATCAATAAGAGAGAAACATTGATCAGCTGCCTCCTTCCAGGGATGGAGCCCGTAACCTGGGCATGTGCCCTGACTGTGAATCAAACCGGCAACCTTTTGGTGCATGGGATGATGCTCAACCTACTTAGCCACACTGGCCAGGGCCCAGCACCATTTGCTGAAGAGACCATTCTTTCCTCATTGAGTGGTCTTGGCACCTTGTGAAAACCAGTTGATGGTAGATGTGTGGGTTTGTTTCTGGGCTCTTATTTATATTCCATCAACCTCTATATTGTATATGTCTGTCCTCATGCCAGTACCACACTGTTTTGTTAACTGCAGCTTGGTAGTAAGTTTTTAACTCGTGAAGTGTGAGGATATTTCCTTTTATAGATGAAGAAGCTGGAGCTCAGGAAGGAGACATGTTCGCAGGCAGGGGCCTGTCCGTGCCCCAGTGGGAGGAGCTGAGGTGACAGGATGAATGCAGCTCGTTGGCCAGTAGTTCTCTTTTTCAGAGGGTGGGCCGTCGGGAATGATCAGCCGTACTTTCCATATCCCCCCAAGTCCCCAAAACAGCAGGTAAAGTGCTGCTCCTGACTGAGGTTAGCAGCCACATCCCTTCCAGACCTCACATGGCCCAAAGATTCCATGTGGGCAGTGGAGAAAAGCCCCTCATAGGACCTCTGGGGCCCACTTCTACTATACCCTCTCACCTCCTCTTCCCTTTGTAGTGGTTGGATTGCAGCCCTGTCTACGCTGAAGCAAGACTTGGCTGTGTCGATCATCATGATGGTGGTAGCTGGCTTCTTCACACTCTGTGCTGTGCTCTCACTCTTCCTTCTAAAGCGGGTAAGTGGTGGGTGCCAGGCCAGCAGCTAACCTGAGGAAGCAGGCGCCTCTCTTCAGCCTTGCTATGGGGGTGTTCATCACTACAGCAGTTGGGACTCCTATGTCCCCAAATGTCCAGTGGCTTTCTCCAAGGCTCTGGTGGGAGGTCAGCAGGCATGGGTTCCTTGTGGGCCTACAGGACAGGCTTTTCTTACCACAGCCTTTTTCCCCAGGTGCACTCTCTGTACCGCCGGACTGGGGCCAGCTTCCAGCAAGCTCAAGAGGAATTTTCCCAGGGCATCTTCAGCAACAGGACCTTCCGCAGCGCTACCTCATCTGCTGCCCGAGGAGCCTTCCAAGGGAATTAGTCCTGACTCTCTTCCCTGTGTCCCAGCCATTTTTCCTGCCTGCCTTCTGAGCTGCACTTTCCGTGGGTGCCTTAAGCAGTGCTATGGCCAGCACAAACCTGGAGAGGGTCTTGCTGTGGCTCTTCCTCCTTCCTCAGCAACCAGCTTTCCCTTCCACCCAAGGGAAGGGGAGGGAGGGACAGGAACTTTTTTTACATAAGAGAAAAGGGGGGAAAAAAAGTTTTTTCTTCTCTGGTGGTGGTTTGGTAGGATTCTTTTGTCCCTCTGAAGCAGTGGGACTGAAGTTCTCTTTTCCCTACACACACACACATGCACAAATGTACACACTTGGGATCACTGGCCAACCTGGGCCCACCCAGCTGGCGTTGTATTTCTGCCAAGGTCATGGGCCTCCACTCATCCCCTAGAAACCTGGCCTGAATCTGGCTTCACAGCCCCAGCCTGTGGCTTCCATAGTCCTGCCCTCCCTTCCTGCTGGGCTGGGATGACCTCCCAAGGGCTCCCCTTTAGATGAGCTATGGCCTGGGCTGGTGGACAGCTCTGTTCCCCCAGATCACTCTGATTAGGTCTCTGGGCTTCCAGAACCTCTGACCGGTTCCTCAGCCTCTTCTCTGCTTCATGTTTCTCACAAACAGATTCATAGCCCTATCGGCCACCTGCACCTTCCAACTGTGGGCAGCACCCTGTGTCATCTGGGGCCCTCCCTGAGCCCTCCCCTCCTTAGACTTACTGAATGTGCATTGGGGTTGGTTGGGATTTGGGAATGGACAGGAACAGAGGACAACCTGTGTTGTCCTGCCCAGCCTTTAACAATCTTCTAGGAGGAGTTTGTGTGACTGTCCCGGTGTGGGTTGTTTGTCCGTTTGTTTTGATTTCCTCTTCTCCTGGGGGACAGCTGTGCTCTGCCTTGGCCTCACATTCTAACCATTTGTTCCCTCATCAGCAATATCTAGCTTGTATGACTCTTAGGAAGGGCAAGTCGAATCAGTTCAGAACTGAATCCTTCAGACTGGTCTTATGAGCCAGGGTTCCAGACTCATCCTCCAGGGTTCTCCCATACCCCGAGTAGGAGTAGTCTGGGTCACCTTCCACTGGTCCTAGGGATTCCCCAGGCAGTGTGCACTGTGATGAGCACCTAGGAGTCCACCATTAACACCTGCACCCTGCCCTGCTGTGGACTGAGGGAACTTCTCAAAAAGCAGGCCAATCCAGAGGCAGCCCTGTCTATAGCCCACTCCACTCCAGAGCCACTGAATGATGATTTAATGACAGTGACCAAGGTTTTGTAAATTTCTGGTACTTTTTTTCTCCATGTACAAATGTATATGTTGTTTCAATTTTGTGCTTAAATAAAGACATTTTCAGACAACACTGGTTCTAATGTCTGCTGGACTTGGATGGATGTGCATGGCCCCCAGGAGTAGTGGCTAAAGTGCTCCATCTGTAGGTGTGAGGGGTCAGTCAACATGCTGACACCCCCCCCCCCCCCCCCGGGGGAAAGTCCCTTCCTGAGATAACTATTGGCCTTTTCCATTATATATATGTTTTTCTTTTTTAAAAAAATATTCTCGCAGATTTTATTGATTTGAGAGAGAGAGAGAAACAGATTTGTTATTCCACTTAGGTGTTCATTGGTTGATTCTTGTATGTGCCCTGACTGGGGATGTCTGCAACCTTGGCACATATCCCAGTAATTCCACTTTCAGAGCTGCTGGTCTTGGGAAGAGGGGCCTCTTTGAATCCCCCGCCCCCCTAACCCTTCTTGGTCCTCTCGTGGGCGATCTCTAACATCGTAACGGAGCCCAAATGGGATTCCTGATAACCTCGTGTGCGGGTCTCTAGTTCCCCCCTTTGGCCCGCGGGGGCCTCAGCATCCCCACGTGGATCTTGCGGATCATGTGATTTCTAGTGCTGACGGCGGCCGAGTGGGGGCAGCACTTAGCCGAGCCGCGCAGAAAGCAGCGGGAGGAAGAGTCTCTAGGACCCGGGAGCCTGGCCCCGCCCCCCGGGTGCACTTCCGGCGGCAGCGAGGAGGCCGGCAGTTGCTGCGCGCCCTCTTCCGCTCTCCGCGCTGGACTCCGGCCGGAACCCGCCCCGGGAAGCAGGAAGCGCCCGGTGGTGGCGCGGGTGGTCAGGATGGCGGGGTCCAGCTGGGGTCCCCCGCGGCTGGATGGCTTCATTCTCACCGAGCGCCTGGGCAGTGGCACGTACGCCACGGTGTACAAGGCCTACGCCAAGGTGGGGGCGAGGCGCGGCCGGAATCGGGCTTGAGAACCTCTGAGCGCCGGGCCGCGTGCCCGCCAGACCCTGAGCGAGCCCAGGCGGGTGGCAGGCTGGGAACCCAGGGAGGTTAGGGCCTGAGAGCAGTTAGGTACCGCGGCCTGACTTGTCCCGATCTGGTGTTCGGTGGACGAGGTGGGAGCTGACTGCCCCCCATAGGTCTTAAAAGCAAACACGTACACACAAACACATACCCACACCTGTGTTTTGTTTGGAGATGCGGGTGGAGACCTGGAGGGAGCCTCGTGTCAGTGTCTTAAGAATGGGCTCAAATGTATTCATTGGTTGATTCTTGTATGTGCCCTGACTGGGAGGACACCTGGTGGGCTGGGAGGAGTCTTGGACAGGGTTCTGGAAGGCTGGACCCACTTAGGAAGCAATCTGGGCAGTTCTAGAACATGGAATGAAGGACATGCCTTAGTGGGAGCACTCTAGAAGGGCTCATAGGACTAAGGGAAGAGGGTTTAAGAACACCAGGCTGGGTGGGGAGGCCAGAGTCCCATAATCAGGGGTTCTCGTTAGCCTGAGAAGGGGAAGGTTGGATGCTGGTGTGAGTGGGTAAGCCCAGTGAGGGGGAGAAGAGTAGAGGGAATCAGAGCCTTTCTGGCCAGGCGTGGGTCCTGGCTTGCTCAAGGTAGAGCCCTCAAATCTCCTGCCTCCGTAGAAGGACACTCGAGAGGTGGTAGCCATAAAATGTGTGGCCAAGAAGAGCCTGAACAAGGCATCCGTGGAAAACCTCCTGACAGAGATCGAAATCCTCAAGGGCATTCGGCACCCCCACATCGTCCAGCTGAAAGACTTCCAGGTGCGGGCCTGTGGTTCAGCCACCCGCAAAGGAGACTGGAGAGGAGACACTCCCTTCAGGTTGCCTTTTTGCCTCTAACCACAGTGGGACAGTGACAACATCTACCTCATCATGGAGTTCTGTGCAGGAGGTGACCTGTCTCGCTTCATCCATACCCGCCGGATTCTGCCTGAGAAGGTGGCTCGTGTCTTCATGCAGCAGATGGGTAAGAACCTCTGACCCCAGACTTCCCATGGTCTCTGTCCTCCCTCTGCACCTGACCCAGGCTCGGAGCCGCTGCGCTCTTAGCAGTTGCCTCCTTTCCCAGCTCGGATTTATAGGCCCTGTCTTTGCCATGTGCCCATCCCTAGCTTAAGGCTGTTACTAGAGAAAGGTAGGAGCCTTAAGCTGTAAGAAGTCCAGATTTTCTACATGCTGAAGATAATAGAAAGACCTTGTAGGACACATCAGGGCCCACTGGGTTGTATCTAAGTGCTTTGCCAAAAGAAAGAGCAAAAGTCGAAAGGGCTGGAGGCTTCTAGGAGGAGAGGAGACTTGCAGAGGGGCCCAAGGGAGGAAAGATGGCACTGAGGGTGGGAGTGGGGGGTTCTTAGAAGTGGCAGGAACCTGGTACTTTTATGTAAAGCATTCAGAAGGCCAGAATTGGGGTCATGCAGGCTTGAAGAAGCAGATGTAAGTCAGGGAAGGCGAGAGGCAGGTGGCAGATGGGTCCCTCTGACCTGTTCCTCTGCATGTGTCCTGTTCCCCAGCTAGTGCCCTGCAGTTTCTGCACGCACGAAACATATCTCACCTGGATCTGAAGCCACAGAACATTCTGCTGAGCTCCTTGGAGAAGCCCCACCTTAAACTGGCAGGTGCGAGTCTGGAACAGCAGGGGAAAGCTGGGCCTGGGTCTCCACAACAATCTGTGAGCTGTTCTGGGTCCTTAGAACTGAATGGAGCTTCAGGGTTTGGAGGGTGGGTGTGCACTCAGCAGCCCTGGTTCTTGTGGCGCCCTCTATCGAGTCATCAAACAGCAACAGGCTGAGAGATCCAGAAACGGGCCCCATCACCAAAAGGTAGGGCCTTTCTCAGCCATCCACACTGGATTCCAGCAGTGTAATGCTTGGGATTAGGGCCAGGACTTGGTGGGTCACCAGAATTGAAGCTCAAGCTGTAACTCAACCTGCAGCAGTGTTGGAGGGAGTTAGGTGGGGGAGGGGTGGTTGTGGTCCCTGATAGGATTTGGAAAAGAATTTGCTTGAGGCTAGAGAGGGTATAACCTGCACTTGGTGGGACAGTGAGCCATTATCTTCATAGCTGATGTGAGCAGGGTGGGCTTCCTGGAAAAGTACCTGAGGGGGGCTGTGTGTGATGGGTAGGACTTATGCCCCCACTGAAAGATGCAGGAGGGTGTTAGCTAAGACTGGGAAGTAGGATTGATCCTGGTGAATCTGGAAGGCGGGGAGGAGTCCTGTGCTGGAGCTCAGGGTAAGGCTTCAAAGGCCAAGAGCATAGGCAGCTGGAATTTGAGCCCTGCTGTTTGGCCTCTTGCCTGCAGACTTCGGCTTCTCACAGCACATGTCCCCATGGGATGAGAAGCATGTGCTCCGCGGCTCCCCTCTCTACATGGCCCCCGAGATGGTGTGTCGGCGGCAGTATGATGCCCGTGTGGACCTCTGGTCCGTGGGGGTCATTCTGTATGGTGAGAGCTCTGTCCCCTGCCCCCACCCTGTGAGGCCTGCACTGTGTGTCCTCAGGCATGCCCTCCCTGGCCACTCCTGAAGGGCTTTAATGAGAAGGCTGACTTTAATGGCCCTGAGCCCCTGCTCTGGGGGTTATCAGGCCCTCCCACGAGTGGGCCAGGCCAGGCTGCTCCCTGTTCCTCCCAGCTTGCCCTCTGCCTCCCTCCACAGAAGCCCTCTTCGGGCAGCCCCCCTTTGCCTCCAGGTCGTTCACAGAGCTGGAAGAGAAGATCCGGAGTAATCGGGTCATCGAGGTGGGTCCTGCAGGGCCTCAGCAACCTGTTGTGGGACAGGGAAGCAGAGCCCTCAGGTTGGAGACCTCACTATCCCTGCACGGACTGGGGTGTGGGCTCTAGGTACCTTGTGTTGCTGGGCATGCTTGAAGCTCCATTCAGTTCTAGGGACCTAGATCAGCCCACAGATTGTGTAGACCCAGGCCCAGTCTTCCCAAAAGCATAAGCCTGGGAGGGAAGAACCCGAATTAGGATTCTACGACAGCTCAGGGCTCCAGGGAGGGCGTGGGCAGGAGCCTGGGCAGGAGGCTTGGCTCTCTACTGCCTTCATCACCCAGACGTGTCACTGTTCCTCTTGGCTCTCAGATTCTCCACCTGTCAGACATGTACCTCTGGGGCATACCAGGACAGGGTTGGGGAGGTTCTGGAGCCCAGTGTGACCTGTCCCCCACCCTCCCCTCAGCTTCCCCTTCGGCCCCAGCTCTCCCCAGACTGCCAGGACCTGCTGCGGCGGCTCCTGGAGCGGGACCCTGGTCGTCGCATCTCCTTCCAGGACTTCTTTGCCCACCCCTGGGTGGACCTGGACCACATGCCCAGTGAGGAGAGCCTGGCACGAGCAGTGAGCAGGCCACTAGGGATGGGCTGGGGTGAAGGCAGGTTGGGGGTCTCATCTACACTTTTTGGTGGTAAACAGGGGGCTTGCCCCCAGGGGAACGAGGGTGGGCTCAGGGGACCTGCTGTTCCCATTTTATGGTGAGCAGAGGGGTGGGCATGACTCCCTGATCTGCCCATCCTCCAGACCATCCTGGTGGTGCAGGCTGTGAAGAAGGACCAGGAGGGGGATGCTGCGGCTGCCTTATCGCTCTACTGCAAGGCTCTGGACTTCTTTGTGCCTGCCCTGCACTGTAAGTGCATAGAGCTCTGGGTGTAGCAGGGGTTGGTCGGCCATAGCTGCTGTGGGTGGATTCCAGAAGCATGTCCCCATTCATAATTTTATGGGAGACAAGGCAGAGGATAAATCTAGAACTTAGTGCTTTTGAGGATTCTAGAGGGTTTGGTGTGGGGCAGGGTCCTCATATAAACCACCACTGTTTGCAGACGAAGTGGATGCACAGCGGAAGGAGGCAATTAAGGCAAAGGTGGGTGAGCAAGTCCCCTGGAGGAAACTGATGAGGGGTCCTGGGGCTGCCTGAGACTGGCTCTCTTAGAACCGGGACTTCCTGTCCTGGGAAGGGGTCAGGGCGGCCCCTGACATTTCAGCTTGGGACAGTCACTGAGGACCTAAACCAGTGATGGTGAACCTTTTGAGCTCGGCATGTCAGCATTTTGAAAAACCCTAACTTAACTCTGGTGCCTTGTCACATAGAAATTTGTTGATATTTGCAACCATAGTAAAACAAAGACTTTTTTTTTAATTGATATTTATTTTATATATTTAAATGCCATTTAACAAAGAAAAATCAACCAAAAAAATGAGTTCGTGTGTCACCTCTGACACGCGTGTCATAGGTTCGCCATCACTGGCCTAGAGGGAGAACTTGCATGTGGATGCTGGCGAGGGAGGCAGGGTGGGACAGCCCCTCCTCCTCAGCCCCTCGTGCTCCTGCAGGTGCGACAGTACGTGTCCCGGGCTGAGGAGCTCAAAGCCATTGTGTCCTCCTCCAATCAGGCCCTGCTGAGACAGGGGGCCTCTGCCCAAGACCTGCTCAGAGGTAGGCCCAGCTCCTGACTGACCACCAGGCCCCCAAGCGGATTGGGGTCAGCTCCCTGAGATGAGAAAAGCTGCTCCCCTCACCCTGAGCCTTTGCCCTTCATCCCAGAGATGGCTCGGGACAAGCCACGCCTCCTGGCTGCTCTGGAAGTGGCTTCAGCTGCTGTGGCCAAGGTTTGTACCCAGTGGGAGGGGTCCAGGTGGGGCAGGGAGGAATCGAGAGCATGACCCTAAATGACTGGTGTTTCTGTGGCTGCAGGAGGAGGAAGCTGGTGGGGAGCAGGACGCCCTGGACCTGTACCAGCACAGCCTGGGGGAGTTGCTGCTGCTGCTGGCAGGTGAGGCCCTCACCACCACACTCCCTGACTCCCTGCTGCCCTGCCCTTAGCACGCACCCTCCCTCTTTTTGCAGGGGAGCCCCCAGGCCGGAGGCGGGAACTGCTTCACACTGAGGTGCCCACCGGGGTTGGGTGGGTTGTGGGGGGCTTCATCTTCCCCTTTGACCCTCCTTCCATCTGGGAGGACCTTCTTGGGTTCTCTCAGGGTGTTTCAAGTCTGGGAGTCAGACCTTACAGACCTGATAGGTTGTTGGCCACATGTGGTTCATAGGGGCTAGGAGCTCAGGTCAGGCAGTGGGACGGGCAGTATCAGGGGACCCAGCAACAGAAAATTGGCTGGGCCACTTCAGTCAGGAAGGCTTTCTGGAGGAGGGAGCAGATGAAGGACACAGAATGCAGTTGTTCTGGGGCAGAGGGTTCTAGAGAGCAGCAGAAGTGAGGAGGGTCTCACTCTGAGAGCCCCACCCCACCCACATGGGCACGTATGTCTTCCCTTGGCAGGTTCAGAACCTCATGGCTCGAGCTGAATACCTGAAAGAGCAAGTCAAGGTGAGCACATGGGAGGTCCCCATTGGGGCAAGGCTATGTGGTTTCTGCTCCTCTGCTTGTAGCTCTCTGCCCCCCTTTCCCCTGTGTGTCTCCCTTTCCGGTTCCATCTGCAGGCCTCCCCACTGCTGTCTCTTCTTTCACTCCCAGTTGCCCTGGGACTGTTGATGCGGCTCCTTTGCCTGCCCCTGGCTGCCTGTCACCTCGGTGCCGCCTTTTTGTTCCACAGATGAGGGAGTCTCACTGGGAAGCCGAGACCTTGGACAAGGAGGGGCTGTCGGAGTCTGTTCGGAGCTGTGAGTCCTGCCTGGGGTCTTACACTCTGCCCCAGGAGGAATGACGGCCAAGGGCAGCCCTGGATTCTGCCTTGTTTGCCAGAGACCTGACACTGACCCTTCTCCCTTACCCCTCCACAGCTTGCACCCTGCAGTGACCACAGAAAGATGACTGCACAGACCATGGGCCACCTGAAGTTGGGGGACACACCTAGGCTGCTGCCCGGAATTCTGTGGCCTCTGCAGCCTGGCGGGGTAGCCTTCCTGGATGGGCAACCCTGTGAGCACCGCGTCCCAGGGTCCCTAACAGCCTCAGGATGCCCTCCACCCCACAAAGGCTCTGATGGCCCAGCCCTTCATGGGCTGGGAGCACTGGGTCTGGCCCCAGGGGAGGGAGCAGGCCTCTGGGAGAAGTGTCTCATGTGACTGTGGTTAACTGGTGACTGCTGGACCCTGAGCCTATCAATTTAGGGCATGAAGGCTCAGATGTAGCCTGTGTCCACCCCTTTCCTTCCTGGGAGCCCTTATTTCAACTCGCCTCTGTCCTCGCAGTGGACCAGGGCGCTCAGGGACCACCCCCCATGGTCTGCACTCAGCCCCACAGAACACCAGTCATCTTGGAAGCTGATGTCTGTCCACCCTGTCTCAGTATTTTAAGTTAATCCTGCAAGCCATGAAAATAATATATTTCGAAGGATGGGGCAAATTGAAGAAACTCATGCCTGTTCCTTCCCTGCCCCAGAGGGTCTGCGGGGAGGTCCTTCATCCTCACCCCTCCAGCCTTCATCTCTCTTTAGGGAGCACCCCTTGTTTTCTGCAGAGCTGGTCCTGGTCTAGAACAGGGAGGCATGGGGCCTGCCCGACTCCTCAGGTTTTGGAGACCCACTAACCCAGGAGACATTTCAGGACTGACACGGCTGCCACCCCAGCCTGTGCCCTGGGCAAGCACCTTTCCTTTTCTGGGCCTGGGTCTTCCCAGCTCCGTTGGTGTTGCTGTGATCTCCTAACCCCTCCCCCCATGTGGGCTTTTAGGAGTACCAAGTGACTTCCATCTGGAGAACAATGTATATACCTGGAGTTACTTGGGGATTTGTTTTTAAAACTCTGGCTGTTGGTGATTTCTAACCTTTCCACCTTTCAGTGCCTCCTGGGGCAAGGGTGGTCTTTTCTGCTCTATCAGAGGCCAGTAAGAAGTGTATCATTTATTGTTTCCTTATTAAATTATTTTTTGAACTTGTGATTCTTTTCTTGTCCTGGAAGAAGAGAAGGAGTAGGTCAAAGCAGGCAGCCCCTTTTCCTAGGCTAGTGCTATAGAGACTCCAGGAATAACAGGGTAGCCTGAGAGAGGGCTGCGGGAGGCCACGGGGTGGTGCGGGAGTGAGAGCCACATTGCCTTCTGCCCTCAGGCCCAGGAGAGTCAGGCTGACCGGCTGCTGTTCTGCCCACCACCTAAGGGACTGGTGGGAAGGGGACAGGCACAGGCCTGGGTGCCAGGCAGTGCCCTTCCTCTGTGCACCCGGAGAAGGGCAGACTCCACGGCAGGAGCACAGTCCTGTAAAAGCTCTGTGCTCTGCTCTGCACAGGCCGTTGCCCCACACAGGCTCCCTGGCCTCCCACCCCTCTTTCCCTTGGGCCAGTGAATGAGCAGGGTTGGGGCAAAGGGCATTCTCTAGGGCAGTGGTCAGCAAACTGCGGCTTGTGAGCCACATGTGGCTCTTTGGCCCCTTGAGTGTGGCTCTTCCACAAAATACCACGTGCAGGCACGTACGTACAGTGCGATTGAAACTTAATGGCCCATCCACAGAAGTCGGTATTTTGTGGAAGAGCCACACTCAAGGGGCCAAAGAGCCACATGTGGCTCGCAAGCCGCAGTTTGCCAACCACGGCTCTAGGGTATCTCATACTCAGCCCTCCAGGAACCCCAAAAGCTGGGGTAATTCCCAGCAGCCCCTACCCCACCCACAAGGTCTTGGTCTTAACAGCCCTTAGAAGCATCTTTGGGGACTTAGGGGATAGGAAGGCGCCCCCCCGCCCCAGGGAAGCACCAAGGCAGCAGTTCATAGATTTGTCAGATGCCAACCATGAAGATAACCTTCCAGCCAACATGAAAGGGAGGGAATTATTTTCCCTGAAGTCCTTGGCCTGGCTGTGAGGGGCAATGTAGAGCAGTGGTCCAGAAGGCAGGAGGCAAGGCTAAAATCCTGGCTCTGCCACTTGACCAAGAGACCCATTGACTAACCCAGTGATTTTCAACCCCTTTCATCTCATGGCACACATAAACTAATTACTAAAATTCTGCGGCACACCAAAAATATTTCTGCTGATCTGACCAAAAAATGTGTAATTTTCATTCATTTACATCAGGTGGCTATTGTCTTTTTTATAATTTGACAATCTAAGAAAAAGAGGTCGGTGCCCCTGACTAAATAGTCAGGTATTGCATATTTTTAAAATTATCGCTGCACACAGGTTGAAAAAAGCTGGACTGGCCCATTTCTCAGTTAAACTAGGATGAAGTGAAGGGCCCTGTAGAAATCTCTAAGACGGTAATGAGTTACTGTACACTAGCCTGGCACACAGTAAGATTCAATCATTATTTTCAGATGTAGGGAGAGAAATGTACTTCAGATTATCTTTGGGCATGGGCTGGGCAAAAAAAGCCTCAGTAAGTAAAAGGAAGGAAGGGAATGAATGGAGCTGGTTGTGGAGGTGACTGGGGAAGATTGACTGGGAAGGAGAGACTGACTGACTAGGATGATGGGATAGAGGGTTGGTCTACAGGCCCCAATTATTTCTTTTTTTTTTTTTTTTAAATATATTTTATTGATTTTTTTACAGAGAGGAAGGGAGAGAGATAGAGAGTTAGAAACATCGATGAGAGAGAAACATCGATCAGCTGCCTCCTGCACATCTCCTACTGGGGATATGCCTGCAACCCAGGTACATGCCCTTGACCGGAATCGAACCTGGGACCTTTCAGTCCGCAGACCGACGCTCTATCCACTGAGCCAAACCGGTTTTGGCGGCCCCAATTATTTCTGATATCTGCATTGACTACCTGCCAACAGGGCACTGGACAGGTGGGACTGTGGGGGATTGGGCCCTCTCTGGGCAGAGTGTTTGGGTGCCTCCATGCTGGTCCTGTATTTGGGCCATGTGCCAAGGAGGGAAACAGCCCAGCCAGAGAGCTAAGGTCGGGAGGAGGTGGGTTCACTCTCTAGGGCTCCCTTCGAATGGCAGAGACATATGAGGAATAAGCCAATCTGCTTTAAAAAAAAAAAAATTGTTTTATTGCTGAAAGTATTACAAAGAGTATTACATAGGTCTCCTTTTTTTCCCCCTTGACCTTACCCCGGCCACCCCTACCCCCCAGTGTCTTGTGTCCATTTGTTATATGCATGCAAACCCAATCTGCTTTTTTAAAAAAAGATTTTTCTCTCTAGGGGTAGGAGTTGTTTTTGCCTCTCATCTTTAACACTTTGAAAATGCCCAAAGCAGGGCAGACACTTCCCCAGCATCAGGGTGCCTCACCCTGCCCTGTCCTCCCACCTCCACTCAGTCCCCCAAGTCAAAGCCAGTCCTGGGCCAAGCTGGGGAGCACCTGGGCCTGGGACCCACTGGCTCCCATGGGACCAGCCCTGGGGACAGCAGATAGGCCTTGGGCAGATTGAGGGACGCAGGTGCCCCTGTGCCCAGCCTGTCCCTTTCTTGGCTAACGGGAGTTTCAGAAGGTCATTGAACCGTGGTTCCTGCAAGTCATCTAGGAGGACTCTTATCCTCAAAGACCACTGAGGTTGGGGCATGCTTTCCCTAGAGTAACTCATACCCATACTTACCCGCTTGAAGTATCATAGATACACACACACCGACACTAACAGGCCACAGGCCTCAGCACCTACAGAAACACCGAAGCCACGTCCAAGCTCACAGACCCAGGCAGATTCCAGGTAGACTTCTACTCATGCTCACACACAGGCACGTCCGTGCTGAGCAAGGCGAAGGCAGCCTCAATGCTGCTGCTCCCCGACCCAGCTCACCCTGGCCTCTGCTCTCTTGGAGCCTCGCATGGGTTCTGGGAACAGCTATGCCTGGTGGGTACTGAACTAGAGGCAGGTAGCAGGCTCTGTGGCTTTCTCCCAGTCCCCTCACATGTGTTCCCCACCCCAAGCAGCCTCAGGCATCAGCTGGACCAATAGGCTCTGCCAGCAGCTCTGGCACAGCACACACTCCCCCAGATGTTCCCAGCTCGCTGGGAGCCTCCAGTGTCTGAGGGGGGACCGTGGCCACTGGGGGAAGGGGGAGGCTCTCAACTCCAAACCCTGTCACCATCCTCCCCAAGTCCACCCTGGGGCCAACTGGCCCCTGGAGAGTCTCCCTCTGGGAATTAGGCCTGAGCTATCTGGATGGGTAGAAGGAGACTTGAGTGGAGCAGGTACCAGGGCTTGCCACCAATCCCCTGAAATCTCCCATGTCATGGGGCTAGAGAACCTAAGGGTGGGGGTAGGGGGAGCAGGCCAGCCATCTTTGCTGTCACTCTCTTCCTGAAAGAGTGGTGGTGAAGGGGTGCGGGGGGGGTGTGTGTGTGTAGAGGAACTGTATCATCACCTTTCAACATTTCCTGTGTCTTCAGACTGCCTGCAACGCTGAGAAGGACAGTGAGAAGGATGAGAGAAAGAGAGAACAAGAGGGAGAGGAGGAGAGGACCTGGGGAGGTAAATGCTTTAAACTATGGGGCCTTATTGGTGGGATTTTAATCACGATGAAAAGGGAAGTTCTGGTAGCAGGTGGCTTTCTTTGTCGTCCTCATATAATATCAGGTGGACTAGTCATGGAGCAAGTAATTATCTAAATCAATGGGAGTAGAAATAGGATGTGAAGAGGGCATCCTCAGTAGGCCCCGAGGGCTTAGAAATGAGGCAGGTGGGAGGGTGTAAGATGGGTATGAACCAGGAATGAGCCGGAGAGCAGGGACATAGATGAGAGGGGCATGGACTGCCAGAGAAGCCAGAGAGCAGGGGAAGGAAGGGGGAGGTGAGGCAGGGGGAGGCCAGTAGAGCTTGGGACCCTCAGTCTGCTTTCCTTGCCCATTTCGGCCTGAGCAATGGAGCTGGCTCCTGCTACCTCAGAGCCTCCTTCCCCCAGTTCCAGGGAACATGCAGACAGGTCAGGGCTTCTTGGGGGTCCCAGCCTGTGAGGAGAAAACCAGTGTGGGGGCTCAACCTCCTCCCTGACCCCAGATTCCAGCCATTCTCTTTGGTGAGGGTTCAGTGAACACTAACCCTAGCCTCCTCACAGCCATGTCCCCCTTGGTCTTTCACCCTTGGTCCTGTAAACCACTGGGGGTAAAGGGGTCCATCCGACCCATCAGGCAGGAGGCCCCTGGAAGGTGGAGTGCTGACGTGGGCCTTGCTGCAGTTAAAGAATGAGTTATTGCCCTAACCAGTTTGGCTCAGTGGATGGAGCGTCAGCCTGCGGACTGAAGGGTCCTGGGTTCGATTCCAGTCAAGGGCATGTACCTTGGTTGCGGGCACATCCCCAGTAGGGACTGTGCAGGAGGCAGCTGATCGATGTTTCTCTCTCATCCATGTTTCTAACTCTCTATCCCTCTCCCTTCCTCTCTGTAAAAAATCAACAAAATATATTAAAAATAAAGAATGGGTTATCATTTATTAATATAGCCTGTCATGTGCCCAGTGCCCATGTCCCCACACACACACAGCCTGGGCCCCGGGTTGGGTCTCCTCCAGCTTCAGGAAGGTCAGGAGGGGTTTTTGTCCAGTGACAACCTAGGGACAGCCTAGGCCCGGGGATGCTCAAGGAGGACCTAGCATGACAGCCACAACAGCACTGTCCCCTCCTGGCCTGTGTCCTTCCCTGCTCTCACCTTCCTATTTCCTCATCCTCTTGTCTCTCTTCCACCTGACAGTCCCCACGTCACCTACTGCACAGGTTTATGCGCCTTGTTCTTATTTTGCCACAGAGGCCATAATGGAAACCAAACCCTCCGATGGCCGTTCCGCCTGTAAGTCTTCTCCACAAGCTGGTGCCAGGGGTGGGGTGGGGGAGATGTTGATACCTCGTTTTTGTTCAGGCCCCTGGGATGGCCTGCTTGCGGAGCCTCCTGGTTGGTTCCCCAGACACTACACAGGTGAGCATGATGATATTTGGGCTCTTCAGTCATTTTAAAGAATGAGTCATCATTTATTGATATGGCCTATCATGTGCCAAGTGCTTTACAAATGGTCACCCTTTGAAACATGTATTATTTTTGGATGGGGGGGAGGGCTATTCATTTTACCGGGGAGAAAACAAGCTCAGAGAGGGAAAGGGACCTGCTCAAAGTCACACAGCAGTGCCAGGGCTGGAATGCAGTTGTCCCGCCTTTTTTTTGTCATACCTTCCATCTCCAAGGTAAGGACTTGCCAGAGACGGCTGTGGTCAATCGGTGGCCTCTCCTGTGGTCTCAGGTAACACCTCAGAGGCCCTGCCCATCCTGCTGGCTGCCACATTCTCAAAGCCCAGCGTCTGACCTGGTGCTTGATAATGCAGGGGGACCCCTACCTAGGGCCCTGAGAGGGTGGAGCTTGAACATCATATAGGGGCTAGTCCCCACATGAGGCTGTGGTGAAGAGATAGAGGACACCACTCCAAGGAAGGATTGGGTGCTCTGTGAACCCGAAGACTCTTGGAGGTCAGTAAGAAGGGCGAAGATAAGCAGGTCATTTGGAATTTTTATTTTTCACTGAGCTGAGTGAGGAGATCCAACTATGGAATCCAGAGAGAGAGAGAGTTCTACAGGAAGAAAACAGAAATAGGCCAGGCCCTGGGCTCGGCTCAGAGAAGGCCTGAAACCACCTGGGCTACCTTTCGCTGCCAGCTTCATCCTTGGCACTTGTCCCTCCCATGGCATCACTCAGCTGCCAGAAGCCAGAGCCCACAGTGGCAACTGCTTGATGCTATAACTGCAGCTGCTGCTCTGCCCAAGGAGAGGTGTGGGTTGACTACGAGGAGCCAGGGAGGCCAAGCTAGGAAGAACCTTAAAAATCACCGAGTTCAAGAGAGAAAATATATTTCTGTTGTTCAAGCCACCCAGTCTGTTGTACTTTATGGCAAACTGATAGTCTAATATGACACACTTAATGGTCACCTGTATTCGTTAGCTCTCCCAAGGCCAGGATGTTTGGTTAGCCTAGAAACTTCATCTTGTAATCCTGCTAGAAAACTTTGACCTTAGTGTTTTATTTTCCCCACTGTCCAGAGACCACTAATAAAAGCAAATCCAACTAATGCTCTACATCTGTGGAAACATGCTTACATTCGGGCATCTCATTATTGTATTTCACACACCCATATGGGGTGGTTTATACAGTCGGGAAGCAGACTTTGTTTTGCTAAAAATTATAAATGTGAGAGTTCCTGCATTAGGGGGTTAGAATAACAGTGGGAGAGAAAAGCTATTAGACGAGGCAGGCTTATTATCTTTTGTTTATAGAACATCTTCACTCTGTAATGGTGTCTGGGGATATTAAAGTGTCTGATGAAAAAAAGACTTTATAACAAAACAAAACAAAATCCCCGAGTTCATCCTCATTTTATAGATGATGAAATGAGGCCCAGAAAGAGCAATGGATTTCAAAGAAAATGAATGTTGAGACTCAAACTCAACTCTTGTCTGCTGCGTTTGTCTGCCGAAAGCCCCCTCTACGCATATCTGAGTGCTGCTGCCCGAGGCACCAGGGGGTTGGCTTGTGTCTGTGTGTCTGTGTGTGGCAGGATGCAGCTGTGGTGTCTGCCTCTGCACAGGCCAAGGTCTCTGTGTCCCTCTGTGTGTCTCTAAGGGTGCACCTATGTGCAGGAATTTGGGGTCATGGCGAGAGAAGGTCAGTCGGGCCTATTCCTACAATCTTGGGAGGCTTCCAAGGCTGAGTAGGGAGGCTGAGTCCTGAAGGGTAGGGGGAGAATGGGGACTTTGCTCCCAGAGGAGAGGGAGAGAAGGCAGGCTGGAGCAGACAAGGGTCCTGGGACTAGCCTGGTGCAGGGGAAATGAAGACGAGGTGGGGTATGGGTCCATGGAAGTTGAGGCAGGCTCTTAGCACTCATGTGGGCCCAGCCCTCTGGTCACCCCAGTGAGCAACCCCAGGGGAAGTAGTCACATGATGTGGCACTTCTCAGCTGATGGCTTGAGGTTCCCCAGTGTGGCTTGGGCTTTGTCCTTGAGGGAACCAAGGTCTAAGCCAGGAAGGTTGGCCAGCTGCCCGAGGACTGAGGCCCTCTCTTCCTCCTCCTCTGTGTCCTCCTCAATCATCTTGGCCAGCTCCCGGGGCAGCTCCACATCTCCACCTGCCATCTGGATCTGGCTCTCATCTGTCTCATTCTGAAGAAAGGGAGGGTTGGGCTGGAGTTGGAGATCTGTGGGACCCCAAGCTGAGGGTGTAGGGAGGAGCCTGGACTGGGTTCCAGGCTCCTAGGTTCTTGAGCCCCATGTTCCAGTGAGCTCAGTCCCCACCCCCACATCCCAGGATCAAGCTTTTGACATTTATACTTTATACCACTCTACTTCACTCTGAGATACTGAAGGGGATACAAAATAGGAATACTTAGGAGTCAAACTGTTATAGTTAGTCATATATTGACTATTGTTAACTACACTGAAGGACATTACCAATACTAGTAGTGGGTACCATTCATCAAACACTTTTTATATGGCTGATATTGAGCCGTGTGCTTTTAATTCTCACAATGACCCTGCAAGGTAAATATTGTTTTCTCCATTTTACAAATAAGGAAGTTGAGGCTCAGATAATTTAAGTAAGTACCTTGCCCATGGCCATACGACTTGGAGGTGGGACAGCTACATGTAAATGCATGGCACTGATACCAGCATCTGTGCTCTCTTGGCAAGGCATCTATTGTTGTCATTGCACTTCCTCATCCCTTTGGGTTCCCTGGGGCTTTCCACTTATGTCCTACTCAGTTACAGCCAAGTCTTCCCTCTTCACTGGACTGAGTTCCCTAATGGAAGTTGTGTCTATTACATGCTTAATGCAAGCATTTGAGGAATGACTTCATTCCTAGCTGTGTTTAACTCAGTTACTTCCCAGAAAGGCAAACTTTCTGGACCTGTTTTCCCTTTGAGATACTTCTAAAAGACTGGTGCACTGTGGGGAGTCAGAGGCAGCCAGAGGCTCAGGAAATATTTGTTGAATGAGTGGGTGTGATATTCACATATCTGATCTTCTAATTCAGGTGGAAGATCAAGGTCGGTATACTGTAGCGCTGTTTCTGTTTCTCCTTAGAGTCTATCGTAGTTTTGGGCACTTGGGGTAGCTTGTGCCTTAGTTCTCTGCTTAGGCAACAGGAGTAGAACACTTACAGCCCATCTGGTGCTGCAGTGCATAGTGGAGTCATCCTCCTGGCTGCTTGGTCAACCAAGGAGTTACTTTGCTCTCTGCAGACAGACCCATACTCTGGAAAGCAGTCAGGGGCCTGGAGAAGGCTCAGCATTCACAAGCTTGAGCACCATCACTCACTGGTTGGATGATCTTAGCCAAGTCCTTTAATATATCTGAGTCTCAGTTTCCTTATTTGTAGATGTGGGTGATTGCTACCTAGTGGAATTACTAAGGGGTTAGGTAAGGGTGTGAAGGTTAAGTGCCTGGCACACAGATGGTGCTACCTTCTCTTTCCCATCCCACCTTGCCCGGTGTTCAGAAGCCTCAAGAGCCTCACCCCCATGGTAAAATCTATTGCCTTCCAACTCTTCATCTGCCTGGGCCTGACTTGTATTGGGGGAGTGTAGGTTGGAGGACAGAAGGGGCCTGGACTGGCTCCAGAAACACAAACCTATCAGTCTCTAGAGGACTGGACTATCCTTCCTTGCCAAATCCTAGGCTTAGGCAGGCTCCAGTTAAGGAGTGAAGGAGTGAAAGAACAAATGGTCTCACCAAGCTCTCCATGAATCATGGCTCCCAGAGTGGGGCAAAGGAGTCCAGGGCCCAGGGCTCAGGGGCCTGGATGTGCCTCAAAGCCCTATCTCTTAAGCTTACCTTGGGCAGCCGGTATTTGTCTCGGAAGTGGCTCCGTAGCATGGCCCGCTCTGCCTTCCTCTGTGTGAACTGTATGTCACGTTCCATCCTGCAGGGGCACAGGGCCAGAGTCATTGCCAGCACTAAAGAGATGGGCACCTGTGGGCCTGTGTGTCAGGAGGGTGCTTGGACCTGGCAACTGCCTGTTGCTCTTTACGGCCTAGCCCCCCATCACAGGGCCCTTTCTAGTCTCCACACATGCCTCTGGACAGAGCTATGGGAGGGAGGTCATTCTGGCTCCCTAATATATATCCCTCTAAGCCTCGGATTCCTTGGGTCTTTTCCCTTCCTGGCAGGTTATTTGGAGGGTGTGGGGTGTGGGGATTGAGTGTGTGTGTGTGGGGGAAGTATTCGAAACAGACTTGGTTTCATATCTGGCTCCATTACCACTTTTGTTATGGACATGTCTTTGGGTAAGTCACTTACCTTCCCCTTTTGTAGAATGGGGATAAGTTTTTGCAATTCACAAAACTGCTATCAGCTGAAATAATTATAGCTAACATTTAATGATTTACCGTGTTCTAGGTGCTGTGCTAAGCAGTTTACATTAAGTAATTTAATCCTCATAAATATAAGGCATGTTTTATAATTATCATCCTCACTTTACAAAAGAGAAAACCAAGGGACAGAAAGGTTAAGTAAATTACCTAAAATCACTCAGCTATAAAGAAGCAACGCCAGGATCTGACACAAGCAGCCCTGGAGTCTAGCCCTAGCCCCACTCCAGCTGTTTCTCTGTTCTAGCATTGTCTGAACATCCGTGGATTCAATATCTACAAGTGCTCCCATTTCAGGATCTGTGTCCCTGACTCTGAGCCCCCTCAGCTGCATCGCTTTTTTCAGAGCCTCAGGCTCAGAAGCGCTCCATTTGGAAGACCCAGATATTGGGACCAGATCGGATTAAAGGATTACTTGTTTCATCAGAAATGCACGTGCTCCACCCAGTCCCAGACCCCTATCGCCCCTGCCCCCACTTCCTCTGGACCTAATGTGAAGCTGAGGCGGGGCCTTAGGTTTGAAATGTTGTGGCTCAGGGTGGCAGAGGGAAACCTAGAGGTGCACATCCCAGCCTCTTACCAGTCTAGAGAAGTAGGGGAAGGGATTGAGTTCTGAAACTACCCTAGAGGTGGGCCGGGCAGCTGGAGGATGGATGTGGGAGAGGGTCGTTGGAGGTGGGAAGGGATCTCACTCACTTCTCTTCCACCAGTTGCTTCTGATACTCCTCATACTCCTCTTGGCTCATGCCCTGCGCTTCGGCGGCGGACTTGTCCCCATCCTCCTTGTCTTCGCCACCCCTCAGGCTCCCGGTGAGGTTCTTCAGCTGGCTGCCCACCATGGTCTTCACCATGAAGGTCATGGTCTTCGCTTGCCCGGGCACTGGGCACCGGGCACCACTCCTCGGGGAACCAGGCACGTCTGCGCCTACTTCAGCACTAGGTCTCACGGACAGCTCCCGCTGCGGGCCAGCACCCCACTCTCTGAGCCGCCTGCTGCTCGCTCTCCACCCCCCGGCCCGCCCCCATTTCGCAAACCGCTCCTCGCAGGGGGTGGGGGGGCATGCACGGGGCTGAGGAGATTGGACCACGTGCCCGCTCTGCACTCCCGCCTCTCCCACGTGCCTCCTTCAACGCCAAGCTCTGCCCAGCACTGCTACAAAAGGATTACGCAGCCGTGGGCAAACTACGGCCCGCGGGCCGAATCCGGCTCGTTTGAAATGAATAAAACTAAAACAAAAAAAATTGACCGTACCCTTTTATGTAATGATGTTTACTTTGAATTTATATTAGTTCACACAAACACTCCATCCATGCTTTTGTTCCGGCCCTCCGGTCCAGTTTAAGAACCCATTGTGGCCCTCGAGTCAAAAAGTTTGCCCACCCCTGGATTAGGGTCTTTGGGCATGGGGTCGCTCCTTAGGGGAATGGGCTGTGCTGATATGTGCCCCGGGAACCTGGCTCCCTACGATCCCCAGAGAGTTGCAGCCAGGGGCAAAAATCCAGTGCTGGGCCCGACCCCTACTTCTCCCCAACCTGCTGCTGCAGCAGCTGCTTGAAGAGCTTCACACTGGGAAAGGGAGGGAGACCAGAGAATGGGGAAACCCAATTATGGCTCCATGGGCTGCCTCACAGAGTTCTCCATCATGTGCCTTCCCCTCTGACCCCCTGGAACTGAAGGGAACTGGGGGAGAGAGAGTTGTTCATGGTGATGCTGGCTGGGTTGAATTTGTTCTGGTGAATTTGGGGACAGAATTATACACAGTTGTGACTCCCTCTCCCTCCACAGTCCAGGGCTCAAGATCTATGGGGTATCCAGTCTTTTCATATTCAAGCCAACTCTTGGCCTCCTGGGCCACTTGAAGCCCACTCCCAGCTACCTCTCCAGAGGAGGTGGAAGAGAAAGCCTTCAGAGACGTAAAGGCAAACCTGGAAGGTAAATGAACATATCAAAGCTTGGAGAGAGGGAAATCACCTTTAATATGGTCGGAGCTCCCCAAAAGCTGAGATGTGGGTAGGAGAGGGAAGATACTGGCCTAGCTCTACACCCCCTAGACACCATTCACTTCCCCGTGAAGAGAAGCGGACACTCCTTCCGGGCTTTGAAGTAGGTCGCACATGCAGGCATGCTTGGGGGAGCGGTGCTGTCTCCTCAGATGCATGGTACAGGACCCAGGGGAAGGCTGCAGACTGTCCTGAAGGCTATTGTTCAGCTCCTGCCTGCTGCCAGGGAGGGGAGAAGCTTACTTGAGCCTCCCCCTTCTGGGCTTTCGAGAGCAGGTTCCTTACACTTATTACACTTACTGCACCACAGTCTCCCCTGATCTGGGACCTTCTATGGCTCCTTTGGTCTGCCCTATGAGGAACACACTGTCCCTCTGGCATTCAAGGTCGGTCTGTCCAAGTGGTTCCAGCCTTATGGCCACCATTGCAGTCCTATGTAACATATAAGCCTGTCACCATTCCACCTCACTATTCCACCTCAAAATACTATCGCTATTCTCCTCACCTGGAGATCGTCCCCTCTGCAACTCTGCTTTTAAAGCTCAGCACGCTTTACTGCTCCTCCAGGACCACCTCCCCTACACGGATTCTTCTGGTCTTGAAATTCCACCAACAGAAGCTGTCAATCCCATTTCTGAGCTCTTTAGCACACCCTACGTCTCTAAATGCTTCGCTCATTCAACAAACACCCACCAAGCAGGAATAGTGACCTCCACCCAACCTTTGTGGCTTTTTAAATATATTTTTATTGATTACAGAGAAGAAGGGAGATGGAGAGAGAGATAGAAACATCAATGACAAGAGTCACTGATCAGCTGCCCCACACTGGGGATCAAGCCTGCAAACCCTGACCTGGAATTGAACCATGACCTCCTGGTTCATAGGCTAGGCAATCTTTGTGATTCTTTTTGCCCATTTTCACAAATTGGTCCCAGCCTTTGCTCTAATAGTTCTAAACTTGCCACTTTTTCTCTAAAATATTGTGTTCTTTCATGCTTCCATGCCTTTCCTCATGCTGTTTCCTTTGTAATGATGACTGTACTTATCAGGTTGGAGAACTAGTTGCCTTGATGACCTGTATCAAAGGTCCCTTCTAGGCCAGTTCCCTGATCTCCCCAGGCTGAGTCAAGTGCTTTTTCTTGTACTATTATATGTCCCCTGAGCTTCCTGCCATCATGGCACTGATCACATAGGGTGTGACTATCAGGTACTTGTCAGTTTCTCACACTAGAGAGAGATTATTGTGAGGGCAGGATCTAGATGGAACCGGTGGCTGAGCACATGGTTAGTAGTGCCTATTGAAAATATGGGCACTGCTCATTGCCAGCTGGTAGAACAGGCAGGTGGGTCTTAACGCTCCCTCTCTCAAATCAAATTATTATGCCCAGAACCAAGCCGGGTAGGTGTGGAAAGTTCTGCCTATGGGAAGGCCCACTTGAAGTGCACATAGAAGAAGAAAAAGGAAGATGAGGAGGAAGAACAGGAAGATGCTGGGCTGTAGGCACGAGGAGGGCCCTGGGGGATGGCCAGCTGGGCATGGTTCCTTGGCTGCTGCTTTCTGAAAGGGGAAGTTCTATGGTCCTGGATCAGCTTCTCACCCAGAATCTGGGCCATTGTGGGTTCTGTTTCTCTCTCTCAGGCTTGGGGTGCTATGGTTTTCATCCAGGGCACTTGGAGAGAGGGAGCAGAGTGCAAAGCTGCCTTCCCCAGCTTCTATTTCTCCATCTGTGGGAACAGCTGGGAAGGCCTGGGGCCTGGGATCATTATGGACCAATGGTTCTTGAGATGAGAGAGAGAGAAATAGAGAGCAAAAGACAGGGTGGGTGGTAAAGGCAAGGGAAAGAGCAAGATGGGGCAGGGGTATGGGGAAGAGCAGGCTGCTCTGAATGATCTTGGGCATAGCCCACTCCCATTTCTCTTCCAGTCATTGAGGGAGTTGGACCAAGTGGTCTCCAGAGCCTTGCTGGCACTGAGACTCTGTGAGACTCTCCAGAGAGCAGACAGGGTAGAGAGAAGATGAGATGTGTCCTGTGTGCATGTGTGCATGCACACACAGATACAGACACAGGTTTGCCTTCCAGGGATCCAAGGAGTGAAGGATTAAGACAAGACAGCTTGGGGCTCAGAAGTATTGGGAGAAGGAGCTGAGCCTGGGTCTCATGGATGGAACACCAATGGTTCCCCTTCCTTCCCCCTTATTGCTGGGCCCGAAGGCCTGCAGGAGGCACAGGATCTGAGCCAGCTCTAAGATGATGCTTGATGCCCACAGGCAGGTAGAAGACCTGGGCTCTTGAAGCCACGTGGGTTACTGCATCCCAGTGGGGAGTAGAAACCAAGGCAGAGGACTCATTACGCATTCTGGTCCCATCCAAGCTGCCTGACCATGTCTCATAATTCCCAGAGCAGCACCTGGGTGGGGAACCGGCACCATCTATAGGGCCCCTTCTTCTGAGCTGTTCTTACCCCAAACCTCCTTTCTGGTTCCCAAGACAGCTTTAGCCAGTGAAGGATCTCCCTAAAGCTATCTGTCTCAACCTCAGGCTCTTTGGGCTCTGCCTTCCATCCCTAGTCCTCAGGAGATTTAGCTCTTTTCCCTCATCCCTTCTTCCCACTCCCAGTCTAGAGAGCAGGGACAGGGATTGGGCTGCAGCCATAGCATCCAGCCTGAAGCCTCCCTCCTCCCTGGTATCAGGTAACCCCTTGTTCCCAGGGCTCTATGGGTAGCTCCAGAGACCTGTCCTAGAGTGGGATGCTGTGAGATGGGAGGGGCCAAAAGGAATTCAGGGGCCTCCTACCATCATTAGGCCTGATCTTGGTTGTGCTTCCTCCAAGAACCCTATCAAAATGCCCTCTCCTTCCAGGAGCTCAGATTTACCATCCCTCCCTAGGGTGAGAATGTCCAGTGGGTGTTGGTGGAATGGGGCTTCTCTTTCCTCCACCCTCATAACCCCTCCTAGTCCTGTGCCTTTACCTCATCTCTTACAGGTCTTGGAGCAGAATCCACTGCTGTCCACAGAACAGGGTGCTGACCCTGGCAGAGTCCTGCAGGAAAGCAAGCCTCTTCTCTAGGGGCCAGGGCACAGCCCCCCTGCTCTCAGAGTCTACCTTTCTAGGGCACTGCAGCCCTCTTCCTTCTAGAGGCCTTACCAGATTACCTGACCCCCTCATTATGGACACATTGAATTTATCTGACCCCTGTCCACCTCAGCTCTTGGACTCCCCCTCCTCTCAAAACCCTCTCCCGAGTATGGTCCTACTCCCCTCCCCCAGACAGTGGTCACTCCTGGGGTTTCTCATAACCCCTCCACTTTCTAGAAATGGTTCTGCCCCTGAAGGAGCAGATGCCCAGTTCAGTCCTCTCCTCCCCACTTCCCCTGGGGCACAGTCCAAACTGTGGCCAGTGCCAGTCAACTCAAGCTCAATGCTTGAACTCCTGTCTTGCTGAGCGGCCTAGAGAGATTGCCTCTCTGGGGTGGATAGGATCTGGCAGGAAGGATCCTGGGCCTGGAAATAAGATTAGAGAGGCCTAGCCTTGGAGTGTGGTGCCACTCCAGCAGCCCAGCCTCAGTTGCTCTGGCCTGAGGACACAAGATTCAAACCTTGAGCTACCAGAGCCCAGCAAATCCCACAGGAATCACTGGCCTCTTCTGCCCAGTATCTAACATCTTGGCTGGTTCAACTCTCAGGCTTCAGGTTGGGAAGGCCATGGAGAGAAGCCAGGATGGCAGTGGAGATGAAACGAGGACTCTGGTTCTTCTGAGCATTAAGCAAGTCATATGTGAATCAAGTCACATGTGGAACTACATGCAAATTAGAACCCGGTCTACTTTTGTTACTTGTCTAAGGACCTACGTCCAAATACCTGGCATCTCCTCTCCCCAGTCCCAGCTGTGTGGCTCCTTGGGCATTTGCTTGTGGTGTGTTAGCCTCCTGCACAATCCCCTGCCTGGCAAGTCCATCCCATCCTGTGACCTGCAGCATTTCACCCGTGCCCTCCTTTCCCTCCAGACCTCGAAGGACAATAGTTCCCAAGTATAGTGCTTGCTCCTCTTTCAGGACACAGGGAGCCCCCTGGTGCCATGGGGCCTAGTGCCTAGGGAGCTCAGCTTCTTCAGGCCAGCATGGATGTTCCAGGGGCCACTCACCCAGGCTCCCTCAGGCCTGGCCTGACCTAGGGATCCTGCTGCTGCTTCCATTGCCTCTCAGCCTGGGCCAAGTGCTCAGAGAGACCCTGCAGGATCTTCTTGCGTCTGTTCAATGTCTCCTCCAGGTCGAAGATTCTTTCCCCTGGGGATTGGTGCAGAGCTGGGACAGCCAGACAGCTGGATGGGGCAATGGATCCTATCTATGGGGGCTTTTTGGAGAGGGGGACAGAAGGCATGGCTTCTGCCTCCAAAACTCCCCTGGAAAGATGTGTCTGGGTGGTGGGGTGGGAATAGGAGAGAGCATCTAGGCCCCAGGGACTGCTTAGATATAGCCTCCATCTCCCCATTGGTTAAAGAACTCCTGGTTGGAAGGGAAGAGTATCCTATGATACTCAAATGGGCCCCTTCCCTACCTGCCTCTCCCTGGGCCCCTACCCTCTTCCTGGTCTTTGGAGTTCAGCTTTGGAATCATGTCTTCCCTGGTGCCCAGGGCCAACCTTGCCTGCAGCCCTTCCAGCTGCCCTGGGTGGTTAGGACCCCTTCTCTGTGCTCCCACAGCCTTCAGCCAGCCTCCAAGGTCCTTAAGGACAAGGCCTGGCTCTAGGTCACTTCTGATCCCAGCACTGCCCAGCACAACGCCTGGCCTGAGCAAAACTCAGAGAGCAGGTAGAGATAATGGTTGGAATAGCAGGTCTGATGGCACCATGACATGAGCAGAAGCATCTAGGGAGGAAAGGAGTCCCTGAGCTGCCTCTCCCCCAGCCCTGCCCCCAATGTGGGCCCATGGCTATCACCTCTGGACCTTTCAGACTGAGGTCAGATAGGACAAGACATCATGGTAATCTGGAAAAGGGGATAGAGAAGGGAAGGGAAGATCTCCCATCCCCAGCAGCCCACTCACTTAGTCCTCACCTCCCAGGCTCCATTATATTTCAGGCAGGCAAAAGATCTGTGTGACCTGAGGCAGCTCTGACCCTTGTCTGGCTTATTTCAGAAGAAAGGTATGAGGGTCAGACAAGCAGATGGGTGGTCTGTGAGGGTCAACATCCCCCACCAGCCAGAGTAGGGCCCCCAGTGAGTAGGAAAATTAGGCAATTCTGGACTAGAGCCATGGAAGCAGACTGAGCAACACACTAAGGCCCCAGGGAACTACTGACAAAAGCAACCACATGGTGGCTACCTCCTCAATATGACTCTGACCATGTCACTCTCCTCGGAAACCTTCGATGACGCCCCAGTGCCCAGAGTCTAAAGACTGAAGTCTTGGCATTCACGAACTCCCACTGTCTGATTGCACCAACTATGGGTCCCTCCATGGACTCTCCATTATATCCTTTGCTCCATTTCCCTAAACATCCCTCATGGCTGTCCCTCTTCCACTTGCCCCACAGCTCCCAGCAAGGGCCACTTATGGGGCCAACGCTGGGATAAAAGCTTCTTTTGTTTTATCCTATTTGAGACTTTCAACAACTCTGCAAGGCAGGCAGGAGAGGACTTGTGACTTGCCCAGGTCACACAGTGGGGAAGTGGCTGGCAACACATCCAGTGCTCCTTAGAAGGTGTGCTCAGATGGTTCATTAGGCACATTCCTCTGTTTTCACCTGCCAGGGTTCTGGTGGCTGATGAGACCCCAAAGAAACTTCCAGGAGCAAAAATCAGGGGCTCCACATCAATGCAGACCAAATCCAGGTCTCTGGGAGTATTCAAGGACATCTGAGGGGCATGGAAGGAGGTGAGCACCTTACAGATGGACCTCCCTCCTCTTTGCTTGTGGCAGGGAAAATTATCCCCAAATCTGAGTGTCTGGGTCCCGTGGTCCTAAAGGGGGGCAGGCAGCCACAGGACTTGGTGTCAGAATGGCATGGAGCGGTTTGCACACCTGGTCTTGTGTTAGCCCTCACAGGTATGTGCTTTGGGCCAGCTGGGATTCTGTGTAGGGAGGAGGATCCATGTATGTGCTGCCCATGTGTTCCAGGGGCCCTGCGTGGTGTCAGGCACAAATCAGTTGAGGCCACGAACAACAGATTACACAGTATCTCTGTATCTCTGAGCCTGTAACCTGCACACCCTGCATGTTTGTAGGACCTGCAAAAGCAAAAGAGGCCGTGTGTGAGTAGGACCTGCTCATGAGCAGACTCTGCGCCCAGTAGGCGAGCTTGCTTGGAAGGGGTATGGCCGGTTCCGGAAGTTGTGGTAATGAGAGCCCAGCACCCAGCTGGCTCCATCTCTGTGGGGACTTAGAGTCCAGTAGGGCCATCCAGGACCCAAGGACTGGACAGTGGGGGTGGTCCCAGAGGGCATTCTTCCCAGGCCAGCAGTGCCACTTCCCCCACTGGATGACCAACCTGCTGGGACATGTCCCTGTGGTCCCTTGTATGTCTGCTCTTTAGCACAAGAGGGAGAGGCAGGAGAACAAGCCCTGCCTGGCAGAGTACAGGGACTTGGAGTTCACAGAAGAGGTCAAAGTTCTTTCTGGGACTTTCCCAGGAGGACAGAGGCTGGACCCAACGTGGAGTTTCGCACTCAATCCGCCAGACCACCACCTCCTCCCACTGTCCCTTGCTCTTTCCCCTTTCCTTAAACCCCAAGTCCCTCCTTGCCTCTGGGTAGGGCTTCTCTTTCCTGTCCCTCTGCCAAGCTTGGACTGTAGCAGGACAGACAACATGAGATGTCTGCTAATGGACAAGGACAATACGACCAGCTTGCCTGTCCCGCAGGGCTGTGCAGCAGGTTCTGGGGAGTTAGGGGAGGGTGTGGAGCCTGAGAGGCCCTGAGTTTCTCTGTGCATACAGACCACAGGTACTGATCATAGCACAATGCCTGTCATTGCCACCTTCAGAGGAAGGTGACACAGAGCAGGGAGAAGCCAGCTCCAAGCAGCCACCTGCATATGCCTCCTAGCTGTGACCATGAGCAAGTTACCTACCTTTCCAAACTCCCACTTCCTCATCTTTAAAAGGAGAATAATAATCAAAACTATCTCATAACGTTGTTATGAGGGTAACTCAGACAATGAACGGTGCTGTGTCTGGCATACAGTAAGCTCTGCTCCATAAATGTCAGCAATTATTCAAATGGTTACGAGCTAAGGGATGTTTGCTGAGAGACGCTGGCGAACTGGCCCAGCTGCTGAGGAGGCAGTGAGCTGGAGAGGGCGGGGAAGCACGTCTTCTGGAGAAAGGGAAGGGCGCCGAAAGGCCGCTGGCACAGGGAGGAGGGTGTGGACCCTCCATCAGCAAGTCTGGCCTCGAATCTCAGGTCAGCACACAGCTGTGTGACCCCAGGCCAGTCGCTTCACCTCCCTGGGCCTCAGTGTGTCCATCTGTAATTGGGACGAACAGTCCCCACTTCCCAAGAACATTGTGCATCAGATGAGATGACATGAGAGAAGACTCTCAGCACAGACCTCACCCGCATCATTTCACTACCCCCACTGGTCTGGAGCTGCTGGGCTGAATGAACGAAGGATTCTCTGGGGTGGTTCCCAGGAAGAACAAGCAAACTCTGCTCCTGGGCCCAGAGGAGGCACAGCGGGGACTGAGTGGGAGGGAGTCCCAGGGAGGCACTACCTTTGAGCTATCAGCTCAGGCGAGCAAGGAAAACATAGCCCTAGGAGGGGTGGGCTCCTTGTCAGAGGCTGGGGCAGGGGCACGAGCGGGCAGTGTGGATACAGCCCAGGAATGGGAGTAGGTGTCAGTCCAGATAGGCTTGCAGGGGATGTGCTCTTCACTGGTCAGCACGTGGATGGGAGGGCTATCCATGCGTTGACCAGTGGACACAAGGAGGAGGGTGTAGGTGTGGGCAGGCAGAAGACCATTACTTACCTGGGTATCTTGGAATGAGGAGTCGAAGAGGATTCCAAGGCCATTCCTCAAGGCAGGCTCCACCAGCGCAGAGCTGACTTGGCCCCTGCTCTTAGCCCCTGGTGTACTACACAGTCCTTGGGTCCCCAGCTGCTCAACTCCCCTGTGGGACACTGGAACCGCGGGGTCACCACTCACCTCCCTCACTCACCCTCTCTGCTGGGGGCCACTCACCAGGACCTGGGCTCCCTGGTGCCCTGGCCCAGTCATTCTCATCTGCATGTCTGCCTGCCAGCCAGACAAGAGGACAGCGGCCCTGCTCTACACTGCACCACTTCAGTTCCATATGAATGGGGCCAGCGCACTTCCTCTGGATGGTGTCTGTGGACCAGGGCAAATCAGGGCCTGGGCCCCACCTTCCCTTCCTCCCCATTATTCTCTCATTGGCCTGGCTGGGCTCTGGGAGAAGGAAGCAGGTAACATCAAGGCTTGCCATTAAATACCAGGTTGGCTGGTCAGACACAGGAATCCACTGAAGAAGTGGGCACTGGAGCCTAGCATAGGGGAGGGCAACGCATGCCACACCACGTAGAGCACTCTGCTTGCCTTCTCACTTGAGCCTCACCACAAGTCTGTTTTTATCAGACCACATTTTACAGATGAGAAAACCGAGGCTCAGAAAAGTTAAGAAATTAAGTGGATTGGAACTCAGCTCCATCTAACTCCAAAATACAAGCTTTTTCCACCAGAAGAGGAAACTAAGGCCCTACGAGGGAAAGGACATGTCTGAGACCATAGAACATAGGGAGCACTTTGAGAGAATTAACCATGTGGAGGACTCCAGAGTTCCCAATGAGACTGGGTGAGGGGGTGCGGGGGAGGTTCCTGGTGGGGGAGTTTAAGGGGAAGAAATAGAAGGTGAGAAAAGCATGAAAGCAAAGGTAGAATTAGCCTGCAAGATGGAGAAGGAAGGAGGAAGGATGGAGTGTATGTATGTGAGAATTATCATTGGTGGAGGTGAGGAGGATGAAGGAGCCCTATTTTGTAAAACAGAAGAAAGTGGAGAGAAACTGAGACAGGATTGGCCAGAACCAGGGAAAGGGAAGTCACCCCAGTTGGCTCCCCACCCCTCCATCCTGCTAGACTGGAACCTGGCCCAGGTCCCAGTCCCTGCCAGGACTTTCTAGAGATGCTATTCTAGCCTCTTAGCTTGGCAAAGGCCAGGGCTGGGGGCAGGGAAGCTCAGAGGCTGCAGAAATCCTGGCCAGAAATCCTGGGGGCCCTTGGAAGCCACCACTGCCTCTGAAGTGACTTGCAGGAGGCAAGGATTGCTCACTGTCTACTACACTCATGCCTTGCGCCGTATGTAGATTGTTCATGGAACTGTGAGCTCCTTGTGTCTGATACAGCCCTTTGTCTTGGAGCTGGGCACAGAGGGACATGGGGAGGGAGTCCAATAAAAAGATCAACGAATGAATAAATGGACAATGAGCATACCCTGGGTAATTTGCTCTTCCACATGGTCTGTGGCGCCCCAAACTTACCAAGGCCACCGCGGTAAGTGTGGTACAGGCCCTGCCACCTGGCGCTGAGGCAGAGCCTGGCTGATGCTGTGAGAAACAGCCACTCCTTTGTTTGCCCCTTGGTGCCTCTGTGAGCAGGATGGGGCCAAGACCCCAAGGTAGGAACTGTCGTCTTAAAGGGACATTTGTTCTGGTCTCAGGAATAGTGCTGTTTTTCAGAACGTAGATCTATGAGAAACACAATGGAAATACACAATGGATCTTCTTCTGTTTGCTTTGCCTGCTAGGAAGCTCTGAACCAGATTCATGGCCCAACTCTGAAGGGTATGCAGATCTTGGTATAACCTGGGCAGACCTATGTTTTGGTAACAAGCCATCTTCCTGAACTCATTTTATGTCTCAGCCCTAACCACAAGCCTCATTCTTCTTGCTCACTCCTAGTTAAAACTCCTGTCTATTGCATAGGTTCTTGTAAGTCCTCAAAAATCTTATTGAACGTTAGATAGAAGACAGATTTTTTGTAGGTCTGGGTTTGGAAGGCCCTGAACACAGACCTGTGGGTGAGATGTTCTCATACATGCCTCACCCAGCACACATGCAGGGCAGAGCTGGTGTCTTTGGCAAAACAGTCAGCCATGAAGAGCCCTCTTCCAGGCAGCCCCCTGGTCCTCCTGGACGGCCATAGGCCCAGCAGTGTGGAGCTAGGAGAGTAGAGGTTTGTGCTGATCCAAGTTGCCTTGTGTCTCTGTGTCTGGGACTCGGCATGTGAGCATGTGTGTGTGTGTTCATGGGTTCAAGAGGGAGGGATTAGGGGTGTGGAGGGTCATCAAAGAAGAGGCGGAAGGAGAGAGAAACCCTAGGGCACAGAAGGAAAGAGGCAGAGAGGAGAAACTGAGGCTGTGGATAGGGCTTTGATGTAGTGGGTGGAACAGGAGACAAGTCTGGGAGGGGTCTGGGGTCCCTGGCACCGCCTGCCCCAGGCCTGGACTCATCTTGGGCAGAGGCTGGTATTGGCAGACCCACTCCTCACCAAGTCACAGCCACCCCTAGTGGTCAGCTGCTTCAGCGTGCTGAGGAATCCCGAGCATGGCTGGTCCCCATCCCATCCTTCACTCCATGAGGGCTCCAGAATGGTAAGCCAGGCCCAGGCAATGCTGGCCTTGGTCCTTTGAAGCTGAGATTGTACTCAAACTTTCACTGAGGAGGATGGTACCCCTCAGGGCTGTGGGGGGTCAGGGGCAGGAGGAAGAGAAGGCAGAGCAAGGGATCAGGGCCACTGACCACAGGTACTGTTGGCTCAGTGGCTAGAGCATCGACGTGCAGACTGAAGGGTCCCGGGTTCGATTCCGGTCAAGGGCATGTACCTTGGTTGTGGGCACATCCCCAGTAGGAGGTGTGCAGGAGGCAGCTGATAGATGTTTCTCTATCATCGATGTTTCTAACTCTCTATCCCTTTCCCTTCCTCTCTGTAAAAAAATCAATAAAATATATTAAAAAAAAAGGAAAACTCAAAAAAAAAAGATCTGGTGTCTGGGCCCAGGGTGGGTCCCTACCTGGGAGGCCACGGAGGGGACCCAGGGGTGGGCAGGTGGGAAGGAGCTGGGTACTGGCTGTTGGTACTCCACTCTCCCTCCCTCCCCACACAGACATTCTGTTCCTTCTGGGGCTGATCTCAGGCCCTGCCCCTCCCTCACTTGGCCAGCCTGAGCTCTGCCCCTGCTCCTAGGTTCAGGCCATCTTCCCACCTTCCCTCAGCTCCCCCATCTGAGGGACCTCAGAGATCACAGGGACAAGCCCACCCTTCAGTAGCCCTGGTCTCTCCTCTTTTCTCAGGAAGGGCCTCTACATGCTGCCTGCTGTCTCTGTCCTGCAGGTGGATGTCCTGACTGTGTGGCCAGCGTCCACCCCATCCTTCCCTGTCCTGCTCTCTTCATTGTCATGCTCAGCTCTCTACCAGATTCCCAAAGGCTCATGCCTCCAAGCAGCCTGGTTTTCTCAACAAATAAACTACATGAAAATACAAAGAGACAAACAAATGCAATATGTAAACCTTGTTTGAAGCCTAATTTTAACCAACTAAAGGGGGGTGGAGGAGTGAATGAGACAATTGGGGAGATTTGGACGATGGATATTGGATTAAATTAAGAAATTATTGTTAAATATTTTGAAGTAAGAATATTGTGGTTATATTTTTAAAAAGTCTTGTCTTTTGGAGAAATGTACCAAAGCTTTCTGAAGGAATCGATATAGTGTCTAGGATCTGCTTCCAAATACCCCAGACCATGGGTGTGTGGATGGCACAGCGTGTGACCTTGAATCGATAACTCTTCAGGTTGGATGGTAGGTTCATTATATTCTTCCCTTGACTTTTCTGTTTGATAATTTCCATAATAAGCACATTTAAAAAAGTAAGTAATCCTGTACGTCAAGTATTTTTATCCAGATAAATGTTGGTTTTCCAGAGTGGCTCTTTTTCCGAGAATTCTGGATAGTTGAGGTTGCTGTAGTTTGTAAGTTCTTGGTAGGATTCTGTTACTGACGCTCTGAGCTTAATTAAAGTCAAGGCTGTAAATGGAAAAATGTAGGACATGCTAAAAGCCATACTTCATTTCTCAACACTAAATCCTCAGCCACCTTCCCTCGCTTTCTCCGGCACCTTCACAGCCAGGCTGTGGAAAGCTTGGGCCCCACCCGGGTCCTGCTTCTTCACCTCCCAGCTGATCTTCCCAGCTGCTGCCCCTGCTGCCTATTGGGTAAAAACTGATCCAGCAAGGCCTGGCAGTGGCCCCTGTTCTCTGTGCCTAGCGGATACTTCTGAACCCAGTCTCTGCAATGTGAAATGCTATGGATATCCGTCCCCCACGCCCAGCCCTCCCAAGGCTCCCTGTTGCCCCCCAGCTTTCTGGCTGCCCCGGAGGTCCTTTGCCACTGCTCTGCCTCCTCAGCCCTTCCATTGGGCATCTCTCTTCACTCACCACATGCTCCCTGGCAAGCTTGTCCATGTCCATGGTTTCAAGCACTACAGCTGTGCCATGATCCTCAAATCTCCACTTTCAGCTCATCTTCTCCTGGAGCCTCAGGCCCGAATAAATGTCCAACTCTGCAGGGGACAACTCTGCTTGGATGCCCCCAGACCCCCAGGTGACATGTCCAAACCAAACTCCTCTTCTCCACCCCTCAGCCCATCCTCTTCTGTGGCTGGGGTCTCGTGGGTGGCACTCTCATCTTATGGAGCCAGAGACTGGAACCCCGCAGATCCCTTCTGCTTCCTCCTCTCATCACCCATCAGCAAGCTCTTCCCCTCTCCCACTACTGTTCCCGAGTCTCTCCAAGCCTCGGTTCCTTACTTGTAAAATGAATAATAGTATCTCCAAGAGTTGTTTGGAGGGTTACATGAGGTAATACACCTACCTATTGTGCTTAGAACAGGGCCTGACAGACAGCTGTGTTCCTCTTCCTCTCCACCTCCTATTGGCTCCCCCAGCCTAGGACACCACCAATCACCTGCCTGGCTTACTGCAACCTCCCCACTTGTCTCCCTGTCTCCACTTCGTACGTAACCCCCAAGGCCAGATGGTAGTCAGAAGGATATTTCTAAAATACAGATCTGACCATGTCATTCCTCTGTCCTAAACCCTTTATTGCTCCTGGTCATCTCTGCATGAAGCAAAACTCCTTGTGGGGCCTGCAAAACCAGGTGGGTCTGGGCCATTTTCTCTTCAGCCTTACTTGCTCCCAAACCACACCCCTGGCACCTCTGCCCCAGCCACACTTAAGCACCTCACCACCTTTGCTAGGCAATGCCGTCTTTACCAGACACTTGCTCTGTCCCTGATAGTCCTCCAAGTGTCTGAGAAGCTGCTTCCCACCTCCCCCTGTCTCACGGGCTTGTTGTGGGCTGTTGGTAACCCCTACCAGATTCTGGGCACTGAATTGAGTCTTGAGTGGGGTCCCCACCTGTCCTTGAGCTCCTGGAGGGAGCGGTGTCTTGCTCATCTGTGAGCCAGTGGCCAGCACAGAGCAGAGGGTGAAAGGGGAAAACAAAAAACTATAAACCAAGTGAGAGAAAGGGGAGACTAAAGGAAGCTCACATGCCAACAGGTAGAAAGAATAGGAACATCCAGCTGCCTGGGCCTGCATTCCCTCAGGGCCCCATCAGCTGGATCCGTTCTCTTACTCCCAATAGCGTTAGGGTGCCTGCCTGGCCCCTCTCATGACTGGCACCATTTCATTTCTGAACCAAGCCGGGTTGGAGCAGCTAGTGAGAACCCATTGTCAAAATCCCCTAGCCCAGTGATGGCGAACCTATGACACGTGTGTCAGAGGTGACATGTGAACTCATTTTTTTGGTTGATTTTTCTTTGTTAAATGGCATTTAAATATATAAAATATCAAAAATATAAATCTTTGTTTTACTATGGTTGCAAATATCAACAAATTTCTATGTGACACGGCACCAGAGTTAAGTTAGGGTTTTTCAAAATGCTGACACGCCGAGCTCAAAAGGTTTGCCATCACTGCCCTAGACCACAGTACCAAAGACTATAAACCAGAACTCCTCACCCACTCTTGTCCCAGCTTCGTGACTCTCTCTCCAGGACAGTCCCTCTCCCCTGGCAGGCCCATTCCACTCACCCCTTCCATCACTACATGTTTCTTTCATATAGCACTTACCAGTTCTGTAATTAACTTTTTTTTTGCTGTTAATCCTCATCTGAGGATACTTTTCCCATTGATTTTTAGAGAGAGTGGGAGGAGGGAGGAGAGAAATATAGAGAAAGAAACATCAATGTGAGAGACACATTGACTGGTTGGTGTCTGTACATGCCCTGACCAGGCCAGGATCGAATCTACAACCCAGGTACATGCCCTTACCCATGAATAGAACCCACACCCTTTGGTGTATGGGCTGATGCACTAACCACTGAGAACACTGACCAGGGCTGTAGTTAACTGTCTTTGTGATTGTTTTCCTAACTGAACTCCACAGGGTATTAGCTCACTACTGAACTCCAGTTCTAGCACACAGCATGTTTTCAAATATTTGTGGTTGAATGGTCTAGTTTTAGAAAAATGAGAGGCTAGACTGGGGGAGTCAAGGAGGCTGCTGTGCTAGGCCGGGGGCTGGGGTGGGAGATGATGTTGGCTGGATGGCAGTGCAGGCACAGGCACATTGCAGTCACCTGCCTGGAGCCCTGGCGGGCGTGGCTCAGTTGGTTGGAGCATAGTAACTACCCTGCACCAGAAGGCGGCAGGTTCCATTCCAGTCAGAAGTTTGGGGTTTGATTTCTGGTCGGGGGTGGGGGTGGGGGCCCTTACTGGAGGCAGCTGATCAATGTTTCTCTCTTTCACATTGATGTTTCTCTCCCCTTCTCTGTCTCTCTTCCCCTCTCCCAAATATATTTTAGAAAAAGAAAAAAAGAACTGCCTGAATTTCAGGCCCTGCTGACTGGAGCAGGAAGGGTCAGAACCCCAACTGGACAAGGAGACCCCCAGCTTCCTGTCTCAGTGAATGAAGTGAGCCTCCCGCTGGCCCTCAGAGGTTCTGTGCTGACTACTGCCCTGGGAACAACAGCCAGCACAGAACTATGTGGCTAGTCCTCATTCCCCATCTGTGCCCCCTGGAGGCTGCTCACATTTGCATACTCGGGCCTGGGGCTGGGCAGTGCTTACATCTCAGGTGAACTGTGAGAACCACCAGCAGCTCAGAGCCTCCCTCCCCTCTCCCTCCAGGTCAACATCTCCTCTGAGGTATTTACTTTGCCTCCTATCAGGGGGACCCCATCTGTATCTGGTCAGGCTGGCATCTCCCCATTTACCCCCCCTCCCCCCAAGCTTGGTTCCAGCCCTCCTTGTGCTGATGGCTTGAACAACACAGCAGGAGAGGCAGCCAGGACCCCAGGCATTACCCCGAGGACAGGGCTCCAGAGCCCAGATGGTCCCAGGGCCAAGCCTGGGGCTATAGCAGAATGTAGGGGAGGGCAGTAGTGAGAGCTCCCCCGGCAGACACAGGACACTCATGGGTGCAGCTTACACAAAGCGGTGGCCACCTCTTCCGGCCGTGCTCCCCACCCACTCCACTCACAGGGCAAGCACAGCCCCACTCACAGAGACAGGGGGATGGACAAGATGACATGGGGATAGGAGATGGGGGCAGGCAGGCTCAGGGAGTAAGCGCCGAGGCTGGGCAGTGGTGTCCTCATGGAGTGGTTTATTACAATTCTATCTCACAAGGCAGGCGGCAGCAGCACACACAAGCTCCAAGCCCCTGACAGACGTCCGCCTCGGGCGCATGCAAACAGTGCAACATGGTCAAGCGCAAACACAGGGCGACCGAGGCGACACAGAACACAGAACACGGAACGGGGAACAAGGCTGGGGCGATGGGTCCCTGGAGATGGGCCTGGTTTCCCCAACCCTGGGCAGGACAGGAAAAATAAGATTCGTACTTCTTGTAAAATGCCCATTTCCTGGGTACTTTCTTCTTATCGTGAAAAATAATAAAAAATAAGCACATGGAAAAGAACCTCAAAAAAGAAAAGGAATAAAACTCTAGGAAGGTGAGAGATGGGAGGCCAGGGAAGCCTGACCACGGTGGGGCATCTGCCTCCTGCTCCTCACCCTCCTCTCTTCTTGGCCTTCGGTGGGACTCCCCAAATCCCACAGGTGGGTCCATGAGAGGTGCCGGGCCTAGGCGGGGTCCCTGAGGGGCCGGGGGGCACAGGCTGGGGCAGAGGAAAGAGGTCCACTGGGCTCAGTTCCGGTTAGGCCCAGCGAGTAGGGGCATGAGGTCCAGTCTCTCAGGTTGAGTCCCCAGAGGCCCATGACCTGTGCGAGCCCAGACGTCACAGGTGCAGCTCGTGGGTTTTGATGTGCTCAAGCTGCTCTCGGAGCTGCAGGAAGGAGGGCCGTGTGGCGGCGTCCAGCTGCCAGCAGTTCTTCATCACCTCGTAGACTGCAGGCGGGCAGCCGTCAGGGGCATCCATCTTGTAGCCCTTCTCTACCCGAGGGACGACGTCCTTCAGGGGCTGAGGACAGATGGGTGGCATGAATCTGTGCAGGGCCTAACCCCTGGAGGGGATCCCTACTCAGCATCCCTCTTCAGGGGTCCCCTTTAGCTCTGCCTCACACCCAGGCCCAGGAAGTGGCCTGGAAGGTCCTGAGGACAAGCTTCTAGGCCTCAGACTAGGGAAGCAGGGCCCAGGGAGGACCCACTCCAGGCCTACCCCTCCCATAGCCCCAGCCAGGTCCCACCCCAGTGCCCACACTCACAATTCTTGGATAAGGCACTCGCCCAAAGGAGTAGATTTCCCAGAGAAGGATTCCGAAACTCCACACGTCAGACTTGGTGGAGAATTTCTGCCATGTGGATGGGAAAAGCTGTGTCAGACCCTGGAAATTTGGGGGTAGGGTGACCCAGAACCCCTGTTCCCACTGCTCAGGATATAACGGGAGGCCCACCCACCTTCTCTCTCAGGGCTTCGGGGGCTGTCCACTTGACTGGCAGCTTGCCTGTGTCCTGGGTGCTGGAGGCCTCCTTGGTGAGGCCAAAGTCACTGACCTTGGCCACGTTGTCCTCAGACACCAGCACATTTCGGGCAGCCAGGTCCCGGTGCACAAAGTTGTTGCCTTCCAGGTATTCCATAGCCTCACAAACGTCTCTGGGGGCGAGGCAGCCACAAGTCCCCTCAGATAGGCTTCCCATACCAGGGTAGGGCCCCTCCCCCAGGGGCTGCTTCACTCACAGTGAGAACTTGAGGAGACAGTCTCCGCCCAGCACCGACCGACCCCGTGACCGAAGATAGTCCACCAGGCTCCCCTGGGGCAGGAGAGACAGACCATGGCCCACAGGTTAGACTTGCCCTCTAGTCCTTGGGAACAGTGGACCCGAGGCTGGGTAAAGGGTGACACCCAAGGAAGGTGTTAGGAAAGGAGAGGAACATGGAGGAGGTGACATGAATACTAGGTTCTACAGTTGGACACTGCTGAGCATTCTCTTAATTCTCATCACTCTCTGAGGTAAACTTTGTTAGTATCTCCATTTCACAGGTGAGAAAACGGAGCTTAGAGGCAATACAACTTGTCCAACATCGAAGTGAACAATGATGAGCCAGGACAAAAGCTGAGCTGTGGGGACTTCAGAACTCAATTGGAAAGAGGGGCCCAACGATACAGCGGGGGCCTGAGGCAGTTGGAAAGCCCACGTATTCAGCTCCAGCACAGGGGTGACTCTTGGGGCTGGTGCACACCTTGGCCATGTACTCGGTGACGATGTAGAGTCCGCCCTTCTCTTCCACAATCACGCCCAGAAGCTGTACCAGGTTGCTATGCCGAAGTTGCCTGGGGCAGGATGAAGTGATCAGAGCCTGCCGAGCCATCTCACCCTTACCCCTCATTGCAACCTTCCTATACACCCCCTACCCAACTCACGTCATGACCGAGGCTTCAGCCAGGAAGGCCTGGGCAGTGGCATCGTTCTTAATGCATTTGACAGCGACTTTGTTCCCTCGGTAATCGCCCAGCATCACATCTGTGTGGAGAGTGTTTGGTGTTATTCCCAGACTCCCCACAGTCCCTCGGCCCCTCGAAGGGCTCCCAACTCCTCTTGCTCACCTCCAAACTCCCCCTTCCCAATGGTCTGCAGCAGCTTCAGGTCCTTCATATTCAGCGCCCAGCCACCTGGTAGAAGGAAAGGGGTCCAGTGAGGGGTGATGAGCCTGGAGCAGAGTTCACAGCAGGAGAGACAGAGGCCGACTATAGTGTGTGGGGTTCCCTGGAAGTCTCCAGAGCATCTGGGATGGGAAGTGCCAAGAAGCCTGGGTAGCAGGAGGCAAGTAGGCAAGCGAGAACTGGGGATGGGGGTGGCACTCACTGCGGAAGAACTCATCCTGGGCTGCCACTGTGCCCTCCATGACCTTTGGCTTGATGAGCCGAGTGCAGAGTCCATCTGCATCTGAGGTATAGTGCTGCAGGGTACAGGACAGGCCATCATCAGCTGCTCACATGCACTGCCCTCATCTGACCACCAGAGGGAGGCAGAGGCTCATACCAACCAGCCCCACGTTGCTTTGGTTGGGGAGGGCTCTCTATTTCCGGCATGGCTTGGGGTTAGGGAGGCCCCAGACTGACAAATGACCCACTGGCCATGCCACCTCACACCCAGTTGCTGGACACATCCCCCATTGTTGCTACCACTCTGGTCCTCGCCAGCATTCCCTGACTCAGTCCAGACACCAGTCTGTAGCCAGGCATGCCCAGGACTCTTCCCTGCCAGAGGCCTAGCCAGACAGGCAGGGGAACAAGCTGAGAGTGAATTCTGGAGGCATCTGGGAGGCTGCCTGGAGCTACAGGGACACGTGGGCATATCCTTGAAGGTGCATGAGTCCAGGGGGACCCTGGCCATT